TTCTAATGCGTTGTCTAGAATCCCTTAATGCATGTTTACCGATCCGGATGCTAACAACGCAAAATATGCAATTTACTCAATTTCCTAGAATGCAACTACAACCTCAATTTCTAAATTTTCATTTTCAAGTACCCGCACCAATGCCTTCTTATCCAATTTCACAGACTTCAGAGCAACCTTCTTTTCCTCCATCACCAAATTTAATGAACATGAATCAATCTCAGTGTGTGTGATCATTGCCGCCTCAATATGTGATGGGACAAAGATGTCACCCGGGCTCCCTCGACTCGGACGGCCACCGTACCTGCAAGAACCCAAAGCCAAGGACCCCGGGAGGGGTGCCCGACTTTGGACCTCCAATGCTCAAGTCAGTACAGGATCCATATGAGAGTGCATATAGAGAGAGAGAGAGTGTGTAGAGAGAGGAAGTGTAGTAAGGGAATGAGTAGAGAATGGAAGAAATGAGTACCTTACTCCCCTTTTTATAGGGGGGGTGTACCTTATGGTCCAAGTTGGACCTGGCCTAGGTTGGGCTCGACCCATATTATCATATCAAGCGTATTAGGCCATGTATAGGCATATTCTTCAATATATACCCATAAAAACCGGTCGGGTACAACATGCTATATCAGATACTACCGGTCGAGTCGACAGTACTAGCCGTGGCTATATCAATATGGCATTCCAAATGCATTTGGGATGCCTTATCAACAAGGAAATTTCATGACAACCGGATTCTCTAGTAGCCCCATTGAAGTCCCAAGACCTTGCATGATCCCGGAGGTTGAAGGACTCGACAACATTTGTCTTGATACAGATTCAGAAAAAGGAAAAGAAGTTGAGCTTAAAAGACGCAGTAAAGCAACAACAATGCCGTGGACACATGAGAAGGATGTTTTACTATGTCAAGATTTTGTACCATCTCATGTGATCCGGTCATTGGCGCTCAACAAACATCTGAAGGTTTTTGGAGGCGAATTACACAGTACTATAATGAAGCTGGTCAAGCAAGAAACCTTATTCAGAGAACTATGGAGTCAGCAAAATCTCATTTTTATGTTTTTCACGGAGATTGCCTCAAATTTAATGCATCAATAAATAGGTTTCAGGCTGATCAAAGAAGTGGTGAAAATGATGCAATTGTTTTGCAGAATGCTCTAATGGAGTGGAATAGTGAAGGAAAAAAAGAAAGGAGGCTTTAAATGGCTTCATTGTTGGGAGGTTTTCCAAAATAATGCCAAATTTGATGGGGCATCTCAGACATCTCGAGGAGGAAAGAAAGCTAGAATATCTGACATTGGGGATCACACTTCTGGTTCTAGGCAAGATATTGAGCCTAGCGGTGATGTTGAGGACATGTATGTGCGTCGACCAATTGGCCAAAAAGCAGCAAAGGCGCGGAAGAGAAAAGGAAAAACAACTGCAGGAGGAAGCAGCGGTCCAGATGTTGAACGTCTGTTGGCCGAGATTGGTGAGGTTAAAGAAATTCATTTGAAGAAACAAAAAGATCTGGAAAAGCTAGTTCGTATAGAGTCATGGAAGATGTACAGAGAAATGCTAAAGGAGGATACTTCAACAATGACAGAAGAAGAATTGCAGGCCCATCCGGGACTTCTTGTTGTGCTTAAACAAGAACTAAGTCTCAAATGATTTTTTTATGTTGTTTGGAGTTTTTAGCGTTCTATAATTTGAGTTGTGTTTATCTTAGCTATTATGTATTGCGTTAAATTTTATTGAACAATGTTTGTTGGTGTTTGTTCTATTTTGAAAAAAATCTCGTTTTTCCACTTGTTTTTTAACAACAAATCTAAAATAATATCAGTTTTATTTTACCAAAAATAACGTACATATTATCAGGCGGTACAACGCTTATATTATTGGTTTGCCGACCACATTTAATTAATTACACACTATACGCTTTCACCTACCACACTAATACCTAACACACCACCCACTACAACATAATATTAATCACATTATTACTTAAATACATCACACTTGCCACCTACTGCACCACACATGCAACCTACTACAATAATATCTAACACAAGCTAACCTAACACAACCACTTCTACAAATACCATAGTATCATCAACTCCACAACCACATCCAAAAACTTCTTTCAATTTCATGTTACTTATTTCTTCTCATCAACTCCACAACCACAAACGCAACCTCTTTCCTTTCTTTCTTCACAAACATAAAATTTTTTAACTTATCCAAAATGACTAGCCGTAATAATGCTAGAGTCTCATATCGTGCTTTCTTGAACGAAATGCTTGATGATTCTTTGGAGCAAGATGAATTTGCCTTGATGGAGGCCACGGCTATGGAATTGCAGCAAGTTAGGCAAGATGAAAGTTCAACTAGTCGTGAAAGACGAGAAGTGCCTCAAAATCGTGAAGCTGGACATTCGCTACTGATAAGAGATTATATTGCTCTCGATCCCATATACCACGAAGGCTACTTTCGTCGTAGATTCCGTATGTCTAGACGATTATTTTGTCGGAACGTTCAGGATGTCGAAGGCCACTCTAATTATTTTAAGTATAGATCAGATGCGGTACGAAGACCAGGTTTTACACAAATCCAAAAGTGTACTGCGGCTATACGTCAACTAGCGTACAGAGCTCTTGTCGATCAATGTGACGAATACATTTATATGTCAGAGCAGACAACGAATCGAAGTCTGCTCGAGTTTTGTCATGTTGTGCGAGAAATATATGCACCCCAATATTTGCGCCCCCCAAATGCCAATGACATCCAATGAATACTTACATTACACAAAGAGAAACATGGCTTTCCTAGCATGTTGGGAAGTCTAGATTGTATGCACTGGGAGTGGAAAAATTGTCCAATTGGATGGCAAGGCTCGTACACTCGAGAGGATCATGGGGTACCCAGGATTATGCTTGAAGCAGTGGCATCACAAAACTTATGGATCTGGCACGCATTTTTTGGGCTCGCGGGATCACGAAATGATATAAATGTACTACACGAATCTCCATTATTTAATGATGTTTTACATGGTGTAGCTCCAGAGGTCAATTTTGTGGTTAACGGGACTCAATAAACTAAAGGATACTACTTGACAGACGGTATCTATCCAGAGTGGGCTACATTTGTCAAAAGCTTTCAATGTCCAGAGGATCCAAAAAGGAAAAAATTCAAGCAAAGGCAAGAGGCTGCAAGAAAAGACGTTGAGCGTGCTTTTGGGGTCCTCCAGTCAAGGTGGGAAATTGTACGAGGTCCTTCTCGTTTTTGGTATAAAGAAGATCTTAGTGAAATTATGTTAGCGTGTATCATTTTACATATCATGATAATCGAGGACGAAGGCGAATAAGCTACCAACTGGTGTAATGATGAATTGGAACCACCAACGCTGGCGCATCAAGGGGTGTCTTCAAATTTTCGACGCTACTTGCAGATAAGAGCTGAGGTACAAGACAGACAAATCCATCATCAACTTCGACACAACTTCATTCAGCACATTTGGAATGAATCTATGTCCCAAGATTAATATTTAGAAAAGATTTGTACTCAAAATTTAATTTTCAACATTATGTAAGTTCTAGTTTCATATTTTTTTATAAGTAAATCTATACATTCGTTCGTACTTAACACCAGAGCCGGCCCAGGCCCAGGGCAGCCTGGGCTACGGCCCAGGGCCCAAATATAAAAAGGGGCACCAATTATGTACTATTACTATATATGTATCATTGCATTGTATTATTGGGCCCAATTAAATGTAAATAAAAGCCCAAACTACACACTCATTCTTAACCCACTACACAAACTACACTCCCGTGAAGGCGTGACTTTTCTGCAAAATACCAACATGTCAGGATGAATATTTTAATAAAAACCAAAAAAAAAAAAAAATTGTAATAAAAGGCCAAAATGAAGACAAGTTTATCATCTTCCCAGGCCAACATCAGCCTATCTCACTCGACTCTCATTCCAAAATTCCAACGGTAAAGTTAAGTTGTCTATTATATTTTTACTTGTTTTTAGGTTTATCGTTGTAATATTTTATAAATTTAATTTTTTTTTATTTAATAAAAAGAATGTTAGAATATTAGCTTTGTTAAAACATTATCTTTTGTACGCATGATATAAGTTTTCTACTAGATTTTACTTGTCTTTAGCTTTGTTGGGAGGTTAATATTTTATAAATTGTAGTTTTATTTAATTTTTCTTTTATAAAAAGAACTAGTACAATACCCGTGTACTATGCGAGTGTTGAGTTAAGAAATATATGATAAAAAATATTGCTAAAATAATCGTTTTATTTAAAATTTTGATGGAATATTGATGAAAAAAAAAAGAGAAATGAACAGTACAGAAAGTGATTTGTAAATCGTAATGTAGGAGAAAAATATGAGAGAAAATTATAATATGGTAAGATTGCTACTTGACCAAACTAAGAAGGAAATGTGTACTAATATAATAAAATATCAAAATTAAATATATACTTACCAAGTTTTTAAAAAAATTATTTATGTCAAATATCAAGCCTAACTCCAGAGCAAAAATAAATATTTAGGGTATGTTTGGTAAGCCAAATAAGCTAGCTTTTAGCTTATTTGGTTAGCTTATAAGCTCCCTGTTTAAAATAAGCCTCGTTTGATAGGACGAGCTTTTTTAAAAAGCTCGAGCTTATTTCATAAGCTACTTTAGGTAGCTTTTCAAATAAGCTAGTTGAATTTTTTTATTTCAGCTAGCTTATCAGCTAATTTACCAAACACCTTTTATCATATAAGCTAGCTTTTCAGCTATAAGTCATAAGCTATAAGCTATAAGCTCAAAAATTACATATAAGCTATTAGCTAGCTTATCAGCTATCAGCTAGCTTATCAGCTAATTTTACCACTGTTCGAAAAGTCGGCCTAGGCGGGCGCCTAGGCGCTAGGCGGTGGTGCGCCGCCTACGATTTGCTAAAATCGGCCATAAAAATCAGCCAGGCGGGCTAGTCGGGCCTAGGCGGAGCTAGGCGGCCTCGGCGGTCACGGCGGCTACGCGGTTTCGGCAGGACTAGGCGGCTGAGGCGGATTCTAGGCGGCTGAGGCGGGTTCTAGGGGCTTTTACAATTTTTTATTTTTTTTTTACTAAATGCATATATTTTTTTTATTTCTTATTTTGTTATTCATGTGTTTTATTGTATTATTATCATTATATGTGTTAATTTAATTAGTTAACGATTAGTGAAATTTAGTGTTTAGTTGGTTTTTATAATTGTCTTATGTTGTGTAATGTTTAAAAATAACATGTAGATAATGTGTTTGATAAAATTACAATGAGAAGAAGTTATATTGTGGTTATGTACTTATTTTGACTTGGAGTTTGTTTTATAATATAATATTAATAATATTATTGGGACTTAGGTGTATGGATTTATTAATTATAAGTTATAATTTCATTAGTGAAATTGTAAAAATAAATAAAAATAATATATTTATTATAATTTCTAGGCCCCGCCTAAACCCCGCCTAGGCCCCGACTAGGCGCTCTAGGCGCTGGTCGGGCGCCTAGCGAGCGCCTAGCGACTTCTAGAACACTGAATTTTACCAAACATAGCCTTAAACAACATTACGAAACATAGATTTTCGCCATGTTAGCATCCGAAACATGAAAATCTGTCATTTAGGCTCAATCACATCCCAACAAACAAACACGCACTTGGGGCATTATTTTTATATTAGGCCCAGGACCCAATAATTTATATGGCCGGCTCTGCTTAACACTATATAATTATAAATGATGCAATATAATTATATATAAGTATATTATTTTTATATATATATTTTTTATAAATATATGATGTATTTACATTTAACAAAAATAAATAATAGAGTTATAGTTTTAATATATTAATAAAAATATAAGAGTGTAATATTAAATAAAAATAAGTGGGAGACATGTGGGACCCATAAAAAATGAGGTTTATGGGGTTTATGGTATTGGAGATTTATGAGTGTAGGAGTAAGGATGAGGTTTTAAATGACGTGGCATGTTGGAAAATGTAAAAGTGAGGTTTATGGAGATTTATATAGTTGTATGGCTAAAGATGCTCTTATCAACACATGAGACCACTAAAAATGCCCACTAACCTACATCCACTAATATTATGCCACGTGGTCCATCTACTTTATCACATCCCAACTCATCAGCAACCACCCCCCACCCCACACAATCCCACCTACACAATCCCACACACCCACTCTCTCACACACACACTGTACACAAACCACACACACACACAATACCTCGGATCGCCATCTCCGTCGTCCCCCGCCTCCTACCACCTTCAAGCGGCCCATCCCCGCAGTCCATCGCCTACCACCACCTTCAGGCTGCCGATATTCGTCGTCTTCCACCTCCCGCCACCTTCAGACTGCCCGTCTCCGCCTCTGACACATACACAGATCAATGCACTAACACACACCTTGATCGGCACTCTCACGTTCGGCCTCTCACGCACATAGCTGGCTCCAGGGGCAAGCAACAAAGGCAGCTGCCTAGGGCCTCCATTTTGAGAGGCCTCACAATTTTTTTTTTTTATGTATAAATGTTTGGGCTTGACCCATTTACAAGATTATTAAAGCTTATTAAAAGTTAGAGGTATTAAAATAATTGCGGTCCTTCTTCTC